GTTGGTTTAGTCCCTGGTTCTCACCTTGGACTCCACTCAACTTATGTATCTCTGTTGATACATTTCTGAGCAGGGTGTTGCTACTAAAAATCTGTCGAGTCAGTTCTTTGAGCAGGTTCATTCAGAACTGGCAGTAGCCCCCTGGGTGGCAGGCCAGGTTCTGATCTGATTTTTTAGACACCTGGCAGTATCTCCTTAAAGGAATCTCTTTCTTCTGATTCCAAGCCTTGAGCTCTGCCCTAGGCTTGGGCTTCCCAGCCCAGCCTTTAACAGGTAAGTTATTTTAGGGTATGCAGCTCAGGCCATTCTGCGCACTTTCTAAAATCCTGTATGGTAAGGGTTACGCGGTGTCAACCTCGTTCCCATTCTCTGAGTTGGTTTAGTCCCTGGTTCTCACCTTGGACTCCACTCAACTTATGTATCTCTGTTGATACATTTCTGAGCAGGGTGTTGCTACTAAAAATCTGTCGAGTCAGTTCTTTGAGCAGGTTCATTCAGAACTGGCAGTAGCCCCCTGGGTGGCAGGCCAGGTTCTGATCTGATTTTTTAGACACCTGGCAGTATCTCCTTAAAGGAATCTCTTTCTTCTGATTCCAAGCCTTGAGCTCTGCCCTAGGCTTGGGCTTCCCAGCCCAGCCTTTAACAGGTAAGTTATTTTAGGGTATGCAGCTCAGGCCCTTGGCTGAAGGGGATAATGTCACTGACAGCCATCAAGGTGTCCTTGGGGCAACTCCCATGGCTATAGTAGAGTCGGTACTTAGTGCTCGCCATGGTTTCTGGTATGCACTTCCCTCAGGATGGTGGCGTGGGTATACCGTTCCCCAATTCGAAGTTCCCTCGGAAGGGAATGTCTCAGGTTACGTATGTAACCATGGTTCCCTGAGAAGGGAACGAGACACTGCGTCCTCTAGTTCCCTTGCCATGCTTCGGACGCAAGCTTCAGACACAGAAGCGGATGACGTGTTCTCCCGGCCCCCTTTTATACTGTGATCACACAGGTAATGACGTCATAGGCTGTCGCCGGCCAATGTTATTGTCGTGTTTAGAAGTATGCTTTAGACACCGGTCACGCTGAAGGCGTTCCCCAAAGCGACCTCTAGAGGACGCAGTGTCTCATTCCCTTCTCAGGAAACCATGGTTACATACATAACCTGAGACGTTTCATAGTAATACTTATAATTTATTGAATAAGGTTGCTCTCATGCCGACTTAACAGAAAACATTACAGATCACTTCCTATATGACAGTTACAACAATTGTTACATTGAAGCATGGGAATTGTACTTTTTATTATTAGATGATCATTGATATACTTTTACAATGGTGTGTAGTTGGTGTTGTAATGTTCTCTGTTGTATCCCTGTAAGTGCATTAAATGTGTTTTATTTAAGTTTAAATTATGGTATTTTCTATGGTTATCAGCTTACAAATAGGTTTAACAGAAAAAAAAGTATCTGTGTCAATTTGCTTTTCAAACTATCTATTGGCTAGTGGCTGGTTTATTTCTAAAAGTTGCCAAATTATTTTCTGGTATATCAAAATATATATATATATTTATTGAGAAAAGAGAAAAAATATTGATGACTCATCCTGAACTAAACAAATTTTTGTCCAATCAGATCTGTAGGATGAAAATATCCCCTAAAGCCAAACAAAAAAAAAGGATGAGATTTTAATGTGTCCAACCTCAACTTCCTGTTTCAACTGAGAATATGTAAACATAGGGCAGAAAACATGCTAATTAAGCAACTTCATGGGGCCTTTAGCTTGTTTTAAATTTAGGATACTCCTTTAGAATCAAACCAAACCTTCCTAGACATTGACCTTTGTAACAATCCATAAATGTCTTTTAAAACGTATAACTTACATAACTACAAACTGTGGTTCTTCTCAAACAGATGCATTTCAGCTTGGCTTTTGCATCTCTAGTCTTTCACGTGCTCTCTACAGTTCTGTTTCCCTGACTGTCTCCCTCTTTCACCATCCTGTAAATTTTATTTCTCTGAATTATTCAGCATCTCCTCAAAATGCAACCAGACTTCAGGGGGGAAAGCATGGCAGATATGGAAATGGGACATTAGACAAGCAAAAAAGATGAAGTACATGGAAACGAGAGGATAGGATGACAGATCTCCTCTCTCCACCCACAATTCTTCATCATCATGTACTGTATTATCCTCCATTTCTCTCTCTCTCCCCAGCCTCAGGAGACCCGTATTAACTTAGATATCACTGACAGCTAAGACTTACGCCTCCCACTGTCCCAATGAGATAAAGAGAGAAATGGAGGAACAAACACAAACGAGACAGTGACAGAGTGAGAGAAAAGCAAGGAGAGAAAGAGAGACTACAGTAATATCGGGTCCACACTGCGAGCAAGTGACGTGGCAAAACTAGCTTATAATCAATGAAACTGTCAGCCATGGTGCAGTAGTTGAGGTTTAAAAATCAGTTTTTGCAAGGGTTCCTGTAGGCAAGGATATAAAAACTATTGAAATATTTTGTGTGCTTTATCATAAAAGTAGTGTTCTGGAAATTTACTTGTTACAATTTCACTTAGGTGTTCAAAGTACTAAGTATAAAGTATATTTTAATTAGTCATCATCTCCATTTATATGTTCTTTTATTGAGAATGCATAATTTCCTCTGCTTAATTGAACTAAAAAGGCATATCACAGTCAGAGAATCTCAAGAGACAATCAATAAAATCTGCTTCAATGTAAAATTTACAGTAATCGTTCAAACTATGGTCATTTATACTTGTAAAGAGATGTTTCATCAGTCACCCCAACATGTGTCTAGATTATAACCACTGATGAAGATGAATTTGAATCAGCACGTTCAATCTGCACAGTGCACAGTTCGCGTTTAAGTATATTGATTTTAGTTTAGCATCTGATGTATCCTAGAGTCTTGTATATGTGGTAAATATAGGTTGCATTGCATTAAAGTTAAACATTTTTAAACAGTTTAACAAAAACAGTCTAATTTCATCTATTTCAAAAGCTAAGAAAATATATTTTAAGCACAATTGCACTACTCTTCAGAGGTAAGATTTTTGTTGTTGTTGTTTCAGTCACTTTTGCTCTCCAAGGCATTTATTTGATTAAAAATGCAGTAAAAACAGTAATATTGTAAAATAGAATTACAATTTAAAATGACAGTTTTCTTTATTAATATATTTTAGAATTTATTTATGATTTTCTTTTCTTTTCTGTGATGGCAAAGCTAATTTTCAGCATCATTACTCCACTTCAGTGTCACATGATCCTTCAGAAATCATTCTTATTGGTCCTTTGGTGCTCAATAAACTTTTTTTTATTGATTAACAAAGTTCAAAAGAACAGCATTTATTTGAAGAAATCAATTGTAAGATGTCTTTACTGTCACTTTTGAACAATTTAATGTGTCCTTGCTGTACAAAAGTACTATTTTTATTGATTTATTTATTTTATATAATTGTTTGAACTGTAATGCAAATGCAGATTTTTTTTCTTTCCCTTGAGTATATTTTTAAGTATATTTTTAGCTAATGAAGTAAAATGCTGTCACAGTACCCACTACCCATACTAAAGTATAATTTTTCAGTACTTCTTACACCCCTCTACAGGCCCTGTGTGTACCTTTATGTCAGTTTCAAGATAACGAAGATGAAAAGTGTCTGGATGTACACCCTGACAGTGCCTTTTCCTTTTTATCAAAAGTTGCCAGTTTATGGGTGGCACAAGTGACAACAACTACTGATGCAACAAAGATAAGGTAAGGTAAAGGTCAATTTTATGAAAATAAACCATGTAATATGACCACTAGCTTTAAGAATGCAGAAAGGGTAGACTCTGTGACCCCCAACAGTTTAATCACAGTCAGTGTGAACGTCCATTGAGCCTTGAAGAGTCAGAGGAGGAGGCTAGGATGAGTGGAAAGGAGAGAGTGAATGCTAATGATAGAGAGCTGTGTATAAAAGGAATAAAAAGAGTGCAGTGTGCTATTGATATCAAAACGTGAACAACTCTGTCCTAACCAGGCATGACTTCTGTTATAGCACTGTTTTGGGTAGCCCACAGTTTCTTGCTTACTGGTCCAAAATCCTGGTAGAGCGCAAAAGGAAGTAAAATTCCCAGTGATCCCACAAAGCCCGGCTGATGATGTAATTAAAGTTTTTATGTATGCTGATTGCTAATTTTATTACATCACTTGCAGTGCTTCTTGGTATGAGAACTTAATTGCTTTAAAAGGAAGTATAGTCTCTTTTTCCCATTTTAAAATTTAAAAAACTTTTTTTTTTTTTGCTTCAAATTAAATGTTGATTGAATGATCTCTGAGACGTATGTTTAGTTCAACACTTATTCTAAATACCTTTGGGAAATACTTGGAAATGTGTTGCAATCCACCTAGTTAGGACATGGGGTAACGTGAGCTGGCTGCACCTAGAAAAGCCTTTGGGAAATTTACACAAAACACTGTTTACAATGTCAAATCCTCAGCTTTAGTTTGTGTATGTAGTTGAGAAAAGCTGTGAACTAATGCTGCTTTATATTCACATCATATACATACATTTTACACAATATTTATATATTTAACTTTTTGCTCTTTGTAAACATGTGAGACACAAGAAACATGACCGGAGATATTTCTCAATGCTAGTGTTGCTGTAAAATAACTGGCCTTGTTTAAGTCAACAGACAAGCCTAATTAGTCTTCCTGTCATTCTCTTTATCAATGATGCAACCATTGGCTTTTAATTAGGATCAACCTGCAATTGCTGTAGCTGGCTTTGGATTTCCTTTAATGCTGGTAAGTTCAAACTTAGAGCAGTTGTCTTTTTTCACTTCTGTAATGAGCTCTCATATGTCCTTAACATGTTTTTGCATATCTTTTCAGGGTTCAAACAAGAAAAGTCCCATTTTCTCAAAGAGGGAACATCATTTTTGCTTTGTGATTGAGAGTAATACACAAACACACACACATACAGAGTGTGTTGTGGCAAAAGAAATAAAAAAAAATTGATCACAGGACAGAGCATCACTTTCACAACCTCTTGTTATAGTTTACCCTAGTAAACTTTGTCCACTCCGACACAAGCAACTGTACTCCCTGTCATTGCATTGGGAAAAACGAACCCTTTCCATGTTGAACACGGGCAACTCCTATTAAGAGCACATGCCTCCTTTTAAAGCCCTTAGTAGAATTCATCCTAATTATACATACACAAAAGGTACCGCTTAGAATAGTGCATAAGATTAGATTGGTCAAACATACCACCAAGCGAATGGAGCCACCAAACAAATGGGAACAATGTGATTCTCCAATATACATATTACATGTCTCTGGACTGGCAACTAACATGTCATTCAAGCATTGGTTATAATACGTCTTTTAAAAATGATAGGCTTTATACATATAGCACAAGCTTCAAATATGGCAAGACATCTTTTAAGTTAGTAAGGAAGGTGAGAAGGGTGTTAAAATTCGGAAGCACTTCATCTCCGTCAAATGGTTGTCAACTGCGGCAGGCTCGACTTTGATTCCAATTACGCTTACGGTACAAAAAGACGACATTGCAAATAGTACATAAACAGTAAAAAGTACATCATGTATTGCTAAAGATAAAATGCTACCTGGTGGCATTCACATCACAGGTAGAACGCTTTAGTTTTAAGAAGAAATCAGAAACAACAGTCATTCAGCTTATTTGGGTGGTTTAAAATAACCACTGTAAATGATTCTTCACGCCGAAGGAATTCGAAAGTAGATATTTACACCTTGTGTTTCTTTGTAACAGATGTGAATGCACGCAACCTCTTTTGATTTCACTTTATAGTCCTTAAACTGTGGAATTAAGTAGTTATTTGACCAATCCAGCGCTTTGAGTTAGTCAAAGTATATTCCTGGACGGTAGTCCTCATCTGATTTAGGGTTTAAGCTGATCCAGCCAGAGATCTTGTCACTGTGGTTTTGTCAAAAGCTAAATCTGCTCTGCTCTTTTCTGGCATTCCTCAAAGACAGACTTCATGACCTCCCGGCCGACAAAGTGACTCCATTTCAGGCAGAGGGCTGTGTAGCTGGCTCACCTTGGCATCGCTTGATATCTCTGTGCCAGGAGAGTCTGACAGCCATGTCTGTCCTCCAGGGCTTGCCCCTGAAACCCAATGATACCCTGGAGCCAGTGCCACCGAAACAGAACGAAGCATCACTGTAGCTCAGGATAGTTTGACTCGATGCTGACCCAAGAGAGCATGCTGATACATCCTCGCATCAATTCAACGGTTGAAAATAGCCATCCAGGAACATGCTGTAACTGTAATTGTTGTCATATTTTTGGAACTGCTGTCCCTGGAGTTGGTCCACAAGTAGAAATTATCTCCAAAATAAAGCTGGTGAGGATATAAAGAGAGAGAGCTACATGTTTCTTTCTTTTTCGTCCTTTTTTATAGTTCATTACAGACCCAACTGCCGTAACATGTACTGCAATGACTATAATGTGATCTAGTGTTTAGAAGGGAACGCTTTGTACCATTACGAGTGCGTTGCCTCCTCCTTCCGAGTTCAATAATCCTTTTCTGTCTCTCACAATACTGCCGTTTTATTTGCAAGCAGTTCCATTGAACATTTCACACTCTTTTATAGTCCCTTGTACAGTTTATAGGTGGCTTGTACATCAGATGTCATTGGCCTGTAAAATCTCACAAGGCTGTTCAAACAAAGTGTGCTACTTTTTAGACACAATCGTTTGCTTGGTAAACAGATGCTTTATTGTTATGTAAAGAAGCAAGAGGTTACCATCAGACATCTCTGCGGGTCTTCTTTAAATTGGTGCATAAAAAATCAAAACTTTGTTTTGTGGTCTCGCCTTTTGTCTTTGACCAATAACCATAACTCTCCATTCAGATCCGTTGTCAATGAAAAAAAAAGATAAGACAGACAAGAAAGACGAGTCTACAGGCAGTATGGGAGAACATATTTTGGATCTGCTGTATTAGAAGCAGGCCATCATCAATTACAGCGCCCCCTGCTGTTCTGTGGCAGGGTGGCAGCCAAATGCCTGGCTGAGAACAGCTTGGAACAGCAGAGAGAGAGAGAGTGAGTTTGACAGCTGTGTCCATCAGTCATTTGGCCCCAGGCAGGAGAGGATGGATAGGCCTAGTATTGCTACCATTTTCCTTGGTCTCTCAAGCAACTCTCAAGACACCTAAACTCTTCACTTTAAAACTGATGCCCACCACCAGATTTCCCATGCCCATTAAGATGCTACAATAGGGTGTAGGTATTGCTGCTACATGCTAGATTTCGCCACCAAATCATCGGTCTAAAAGGTTCTTGCTTTCACCAAAAGGATAATTATTTACATTCAGCAGTATTCAAAGGAAGCAGGCTGTTTGACAGATATTGCAAAAAATACACACAAGTCCATTTAGCAAAGTTGTTTTGGCAGTGCTACTTATGACATTGCCGGATTTGTTCACCTCCTCTGTCATTATGGCACCTCATCTCTGCGGGCGACTGTCGTCCCCTGAAATGTCTCTCTTGAGTTCTGTCTGTAACAGAGACTGGCTTATCGACCTTGTCTTTACCTGTGCTGTGTCTCAAACAAGAGTTTGAAATAGCAACAGCCAGAATAGCTATGACTTGATGTTGGCGGTTCGTTCCCTGGACAAGTGCTGGAATGCATCCTTTGATGATGGTGTTGAGGTAAAGAGACCTAGGGACATTGGACTTTGTCAAATTCACCTAGACCCTTATCCGTTGACTGAAATAACAAACCCTTAGACATCACAACACTTGAAACTCTCTTTCCCTCTCACAGGGCACCTTGGTTTCTTTGCTGTCCTCTTCCGTATGCTTCCTCGCTGTTCTTTGTCCTCAGTGGTCTAGAATTGTCGGAATAATATCTCACTGCGTGGCAGCTCTTGGCTGATGGAAGCTGACAGCACAATGGCCTTGTCCAGAAGGGTGTGAAGGCTCCTGAGATGCAAGGCTCCTGCCCTTTGGTATCGGACACATGGGTCTGGGCCACAAGAGACATCTGAAGGCCAGCAGTATGAGAGGCCAGAATTTTAGAGTGGAGGTAGGATCACCAGGGATTCAAGGCCCATGAAGAATCAGAATCAAGACCATGCAAAGTTTTCCCCTTCAGTTCTTTGTATTATAGAACAATGAATATAAATCTAGTCCAAAACAAATACATGGAGGAAATATACTATAAATATAACTGAAGCACATGTGTAGAAGCTTTCGCATCCGGTTGTCTAATCGAAATCATGCTTTCTTGTGTTTGTATCCTTTCCAGGCTTTCCCCTCAGACCGTCACTTCTGTTTTGCTGTTCGTGGGCAGTCCCTTGTGTTTTGGGTGGAGGTGCGGAGACTGTCTGTACCCCAGAGGCTGAGTGAACAACTCTGGAAGAGTCTCGATGCTAAACTGACGCTTGTTGGAGAAGGCCTGACGCCGACTGTTTGGTTGGGACAGTGGTGGCTGTGGCTGCATCATGAGAGGGACCTGATGTTGGACATGGCACTTGTTGGGGTCCCAAACTTTGAAGGCCGAGCTCGAGGTGAGTGGGTGGGTGTTAGTCTTGGAGATCTTGGGCTTGGAGACTTGAGCTGACGTAATGGTGATGGCCAAAGGAGTATGGATGTCCAGAGGGGGAAGAAAGGGTTTGTCTTTTGGGTGAAAAGCAATAGGCTGAAAGGTTGCAGGCGAGGATTGGCGGTGTGCGTAATCCATCATGGGGTAGCTCTTGGGGTAGTAATCCCTTGCTGTAGTTTCTGCAGAGAGAAAGGGCAGGAAAAAACAGAAATAAAAACGCTAACATTGTGACAAATATGCAACACGTTCATTTAATAGTGTTGCTTCTACACTCACATACCCTATGGTGTACAAACCTAATGTATTTTACTATATTTAGTGTTTAGAGGATCTAATGAGTAAAACACCTGGAGCAGAGGGTCATCAAGCGGGACATGAGGATGCCCTCAGCTCTTTTTTACGTCACGCCACACACATGCATGCATGCATGCACGTACATACAATGACTTTAGGGAGCTGTGGCAGTTCACATCATGGTCATGATCAAATATGAATTATATAGGCAGGACTCTGTTTGAAAGGATCAATGCAAGGAATGTTCAGTGAAGAGAGGATTCAAATAGTTGAAAGGAGACAGTAGAATGGTTTGCAGTTTGATCTGGTTTTGTTTGTATGGTTAAAATGTGTTATATTGACACTTTGATGTACAAGGACAACCTACGAAGCAGGTTCTAGAAAGTTTTTAAAACGTTGTACTGCAACATTACCCAACTGAAACCAAAAAGCACTTTCTGTGAAATGTTTTAAACATTTTTTTAGTTAGGTACAGTGCCTTGCGAAAGTATTCATAATTCATAAGTATTCAATTCATTTTTTTCCACGTTTTGTTATGTTGCTGCCTTATGTTAAACTGCTTTAAATTACTTTTTTCCACATCAATCTACACCCCATACACCATATTGACAAAGCAAAAACAGAATTGCCACAACTTCGTAAATGTATTAAAAATAAAAAACTGAAATAAGTACATTGCATAAGTATTTATGCCCTTAACTAAATATTTAGCTGAAGCACCTTTACAGTTTCAAATCTTTTTTGTTTGATGCGACAGGCTTTTCTCATCATCATTTGGCTATTATCTGCTATTCTATTCCTCCCCTCTTCACCTCTCAAGCTCTGTCAGGTTGGATAGGGGCAGACGCACATTTTCAGGTCTCTCCAGAATTATTTGATTGGGTTCAAGCTCAGGCTCTGGCTGGGCCACTCAAGGACATTTACAGAGTTGTCTATAAGCCACTCTTGCTGTGTGCTTAGGGTCATTGTCCTATTGGAAGGTTAACCTTCTGCCCAGTCTGAGGTTTTGAATGCTCTGGACTAGGTTTTCTAGTCCAGAGCTATCTCAATATTTTGGTGCACTGAGCTTTTCTTCTACTCTGAAGAGTTCCACAGTCCCTGCCGCTGAAAAACAGCCCCACAGCATGAGGCTGCTACCAGCACATTTTACTTTGGATGGTACACTGCAGGTGATGAGAAGTGCCTGGTTTCCTTCAAACATGATGGTTGGAACTGAGGTTCATCCGACCAGATAATATTGTTTCTCACAGTCTGGGGGACCTTTAGGTGCTGTTTTGCAAATTCCAAGTGTGTTTTCCTGTGTCTTCACTGAGGAGAAGATTGAGTTTGGCCACACAGCCATAAAGCGGTGGAGTGCTGCAGTGATGTTTGTCCTTCTGTAGGTTTCTCCTATTTACACATATGATCATGGAGCTCAACTAGAGTGACCATCAGCTTCTTGTTCATTACTCTAACCAAAGCCCTTCTCCATCAATTGCTCAGTTTGGCCAGGAGGCCAGCTCTAGGAAGAGCCCTGGTTGTTTCAAACTTCTTCCATTACGGGTAACAGAGACTACATGTTTTTATGACCCTTTTTTTCTGAACTCTTCCACAGATGTGTGGCTTGACACAAACCTGTTTCTGAGCTCTACATGCAGTTCTTTTGACCTCAGGGCTTGTTTTTTGCTCTCATATGCATTATCAGCTGTTAGACCTTTTATTAAGACATGTGTGCCTTTTCAAATCATACTCATTCAATTGAATTTGCCACAGGTTAACTTCACTTGACGTGTAGTAACATTTACAAGCAATATGAATGCTCCTGAGCTAAATTTCAACTGCCACAGATAAGGGTATGAGTACTTATGCAATGGAATCATTTAAGTTTTTTATTTTTAATAAATTTGCAGAGATGTTAAAAAACAGCTTTTTTCTTTACCATTATGGTGTATGGAGTGTAGATTGATGTGGAGAAAAAGTAATTTAAAGCAGTTTAACATAAGGCAGCAACATAACAAAATGTGAAAACAAATTTATACTTTCGCAAGGCACAGTACATATGTGTTGGGCTTACGTACAGGGTTACGAATGGTATAAGACAGGCTGGTTATTTTATTCTTTTGCAGGTTGAAGTGGGTTAGCATGTTAGCATAGTTGACAGAGGAGAGTTAGCCTTTTAGCCAGTCTCGTCAAATTAGCCCATCTCCGCTGAGTGCTGCAAGCTATAGACAGGCCACTCGCTTCACTGCCCTCAGACATAAACAATCTTGCTTTACTGTTTTGTCATTTTTGTCTCCTTTTTCTTCTTTTCCATCCTGACTTCCTATACTGTCCTTTCTCGCCATCGATTGAGTTATGGCTAATGCATGAGGCGAGTACCTGCTGAAAAGGAACACAAGCATGTAGCATAATTTCATTGTATATGTACATGTGATCTCAAAGTATATCCTGGCCCGGTGGCAATCATAGTTTCTGCCAAAATACTGTAGTCACTAAAATAAAACTGTGGTAACTTGGCAATAGCAGCTACTGTTATGATTCTTTTTGACCGCATCAGTACGGACAAGCTCACTGTTTGTAGTTGTGCATGAGTGAATGTCGGTTAGTATTACAATCAGCTTAGAAGGTCAGAATGAAACCCGAAGGGTTTTTAGGGATGTTGCAACATGCTGAGGGCCAAAGCCATGTCTCATCACAACACGTCGTACGTGTTTTAGTGCAAAGGTTAAGATTATGGTTAGTCTCTAGTAATTATTTTATCATATGTGCATATGTGTTTGGGTCATTTTGCCTTCATTTTTAGGACTTTATGAAGAAAATGCATTTGTAGACTATTATATATAAAAATATATTTGTAGGATATTAAACACATTGTTAGCTCAGTATAAATACAATAGTAGTCAATTAAATGATAGAAAAACATTTTGTGTGTGTGTGTGTGTGTGTGTGTGTGTGGTCCTCAGGGGCATTCAGGCACTGCAACAGGAGAGAATGTGACATAACGGCCTGATGATGTCAGACACAGGAAGTGCTCAGAGAGTGAACATATGTATCTAACTAATGAACAGACGGTAAATGTACCAACAGCCTCTCTGTCCATTTCTTCTCTTCCTTTCTTACCATCTCTTCCCCTCTTTACTACATCTACTATTTCTCTCATCTTTCTTATGTCTCCTTCTTGACTTTTCTCCCTTGTTTCTTTCTTCACAACTTTCTTTCGTTTAAATTAGTTTGCCTCTCTCTATATCTGTCTGTCTGTTTCCAATCATTATTCTTTAATTAAGACGGTGCTGGAAAGCTGTTTTAGGCACCTGCCACAAGTTGGCTCCGACCCTATTCATTACCCCCCTCCCCACGTGCATGTTCCTCCTCCTTTTCTCCCGTCATCCTCTCATCTTTCCCTCCACTTGCCCTGCTGAACTCTCCCCATCCACTCTCTTTGCCAGCGCAGTCAGGGTTGATCCACCTCAAGCTTTCCAAATGCAATAATCCAACAGAAGACACCGTGCCAGAGACTGCATGCACACGGTTGTACCATATCTACACATTGTTTGAAGGGGAAAAAATAAATCTCTCCATCTTTGTGTGTTTAATCATCTCATATCTCTTTGATGTGAGTTAAACATGTGCAACAGAAACAATATGTTTTACATTAGTAAGATCCCACAATCTATTTCATATTGATTTGTGAAATTATATTTTGAAATGATATATTATTTGAATTGAATTGAATTGTAAATGTATCCTTATCAACACTGTCCTAGTGCCAGATTAGAAACAGCTTTCTCAACATGCATTGTGTATTGACTAGAAGTTTTCTCTTAATGCCATCATGTAATGCCATTTTTTGTTGTGAGCTGAAAAGACCAGAATTTGTCACAATTAGGCTTCCTGAGATGTTCAACAGATCTCTAGGGTATGTTAATTCTTATGTCAAGATGGCAAGTTTTGAAGTAGAACATGTATACAGTATAAATCATGATGTATATCTAAGTTTTAAACTTAATAGAGTAGTAATACAGTAAGTACCCATAATGAACTACTGTGAAGCTTTTATGTATAAATAAGGTACAAAGTAGTTCTTTTAAGGGTACAGTCTCAGTGACAAGCTTAATTTTGAGAGTGTATCCAAACAATCATATATAGTTTGGATAGTTAAGCAAATTAAATACACTTTAATAGTTTTCAAAATTACTTCTTTTTGTTTCACAAAAGACAAATAGATGTGGAGGGTGAGTAAATGATAACAGAAAATAAAATTTAGGTTAACTATTCATTTATTTTGTTAAACAACTTAAAATTATGTGTTTGTATGCTGAAGCATAGCAAACTAGTTTCAAATTAGCTTCCCAACCACTAGAAAGAAGATTTGTAGTATATACTACCGTTCAAAAATTTGGGGTCAGTATGATTTAAATAAAAATAAAAAATACTCAGTATTTATTCAGCTAGGATGCATTAAATTGGTGAAAAGTTCATGTAAAGAAAAAGTTCATGTAAAGACATTTAGAGTATTGTTACGAAATATTTCTATTTCAAATAAATGCTGTTCTTTTGAACTTTCTTTCCTTTAAAAAGCCTGAAAATAATGATCATTGTTTACACAAAAATGAACATAAAAGACTTGATTAAAAAAAACTTTACCAACCCCAAACCGAACTATATTGATTTTTCTTTTTTTTCTTGGTACAACCAGGTAAATATATAAAAATAAAGTGACGTGACATGTGGCCAAGTATGGTGACCCATACTCAGAATTAGTGCTCTGCGTTTACCCATCCAAAGTGCACACACACAGCAGTGAACACACACAAACCGTGAACACACACCTGGAGCAGTGGGCAGCCATATATGCTGCGGCGCCCGGGGAGCAGTTGGGGTTCGGTGCCTTGCTCAAGGGCACCTCAGTCGTGGTATTGAAGGTGGGAGAGAGCGCTGTACATTCACTCCCCCCACCTACAATCCCTGCCGGTACGAGACTTGAACCCACAACCTTTGGGTTATGAGTCCAACTCTCTAACCATTAGGCCACGACTTCCAGGCTTTAGTGTCCTTGAATCTGTTTTTTTATGCTGTTGCAGCAGCATAGGGTGTATATTTTTTCTTAATTTCATGTATAGAACACATTAGTACATTTCAACCGATTTCCCATCAGCCCCTAGTTCTCAGCGAGTGTGTATTTATATGTGTCTCGGTGGTAATGCGCAAAGAACGAACGCTAGTGTGGCTGTTTAGTGAACAGGCCCCTCTGTGTTTGGAGTCATGCTGTGATTGATTAGAGTGTGTTTGTGTCCATTATTATCATATCCGCATGTGTACAGTACACGCTCCCGAGAACGCCCGCCTGTGATTTTAATAACATGTCAGGCTTTTTTTCCCCTCTTGATCTGAGAGGTGATATTTGCATATGTGTGTTTTCCCTGCAGTCAATGACACTGCGAATGATTTGCAATGGTAATCAGTGGTTGTGGGTAAAGTGACCTTGATGAACATGTGTGGCGTTTATGGTGTGCATTACAAGATGTGACAGCTGTTTGTGCATGCGTCTTACCCATGGTTTTGAGGGAGGAGTATTTGTTGAAGCCCAGGTTGCTGTGAGGCTGGGACAGAGCCATTGCGGGACTCAAAGGAGGAAGCATGACATTATTCAGGTGGTTATGCTCTGAAGGAAGAGAGAAAGCACAGGAGGAGAAGGAGGACAGAGAGGAACGAGGGAGCAAAGAGGAGAGAGTGGGACACAAGGAGGAGGGGTGCGTTAGTAAAAGGGAAGTCAGCATATTTATAGAGAGATGAGTGCATGTGATTATACAGTAAAGGAGAAAGTCTGCCGTTAATTTCAGCGAGTAAAGGGGAATGAAGGACATGCGTGAGTCTTATAGCTCGGAGGTTCCTGTAGACTCTACAGTGTAGAGCGTCAAGGTCGTGGGTTCAGTTCTCAGTGAACACATGAACTAATGCTATGTATAGCTTGACTTTAAATGAAAGTGTCTGTTGTATAAATGTGTGTAGGCTGCTGTTGCATAACGTCACAATCTTAATGAAATTCTCAGTTATGTTTTATGTAAGTACACTGCAAAAAGTTTTTTAATTAGTCTTTTTTGACTTTCTTCTCAGTAAAAATAGCTGGAAAAATCCTTAAAACAAGAATAATTTACTTGAGAAGTGGCAACGCATCATGTGTCTTTTTGGTGTGAAATCTTTAATGATTTTTGTAAAGTAAATGTAAGATGAACTTTTATATTGTTAGTAATATTTCAAGATGAACACTTACTGGACTGAAGCAACTATAGGCTTGATAAGGTCCACACATCATTTTTAAGTATGAATATCAAATATGATGCATCAAGTTTTTGAGGAACATTTATTTGTTCATCTCAAAAATCATCATTTTATTGCATTGCATTATGTGTTTTGTCTCCACAATAAAAACAAAGTAATAAAAAGTACCGAACTTTGATCATAAAACTAAGCATTTAATTTTCATCTTACTAAGACATCTGACTATAGAGATATAAAGTGACAACTGATATGTACGTAGTCTGCTATACTCTTCTCAAAGATCTTATTGGTTTACATTAAACTGCATCTCGTTGTCACAATTACAAGCAACCAGAATTCCATTTTTTCCCCCCATTTTTGGCCATGTACTCTAAATATAAGCATCTGCACCAAATGGCATATTTTTGCTCAGATTGAGCCTCTGTATAAAATTGAATACGAGCTTCTTATTCTCCTACTGTATGTCATACTAAATGAGCCATCGGATATGATACTCGTATGCAAAAACACATATGCAAACTATTTAGATTTTAGATTTTGTCTAAAGATTCAATAAATTGGAATAGTTTGATTTTTATGACCATTCTTTCATAAATCAGGCTTTACAGGGTTGGTGCATATGTATTTTGTCTTCATGCACTGGTGGATTTATTCCTGTTTCAAGTATAAACAAGTTAGAAAAAGGGAAAACAAAATCTACCAAAATATATGATAAAATATGATAACAGTATTGATATCTATGAAATGTCACTGCTCAAAATATTATTCTTGTTTAAAGATTTTTCTTTCCTACGGGTATGTTTGTGCACGTGTGCCATTAATTACCATTTCTAAGGCGGATGCATGAGAGACTGCTGTATATGCGACAGTCTGCTGTCTATACGCTGTGTGGAGGTCACTAAAGGTTATTTAGGACACACATCCTGTGTCCTCCCCTTTGGGCTGGGGAGTGTGGTCACCAGTGTTGGGGAAAGTTACTTTTAAAAGTAAAGCATTACAATATTGCGTTACTCCATAAAAAAGTAACTTAATTACATTACTTAGTTACTTTTTATGGAAAGTAATGCGTTACGTTTCTTTTGCGATACTTTTTAAATCTGGACAGGGCTTGCTTGTTTGTTTTTAAAATAAAAAAGTTCTATTTTTGGAAAATATAAAAGCCTTTTCACACCAAAAGTGAAATGAATAAGCCTCTGGCTGAAGGGAAAGTAAATTTACGTCCGTAGAGTAGAATGCAGAAGAAGACATTTCAACACACTTCAGCAATAAAAAAAAGACACAATGTTTGTCTTGACTAGAGTAATTTGTGCTTATTAGTACGGTTGAACTGGATCATCGAAGGTCAGAAGCTAATAGAATGGGATTAAATACATAAAGGATATTTGTGATGTTTGACATTTAATTATTGCAGGTTTGCGTCATATTCTAAGTTGCATTATTTTTATTCATTTTGAGGAATACTGAATTTGTGGGGGGGTTTTGTGAGTGAGATGAATTAATGCATATTCATATTAATTTTAGAACTACAGTAACATCTTATGATTTCTCTCAACATGAGGACAAGAGAGCTGTCAATCAATAAATTTGAAAAAAAAAGTAACTTGCATTACTTATTTGAAAAAGGATATTTTCTCTTCAAATTAAAAAGTAATGCGTTACTTTACTAGTTACTTGAAAAAAGTAATCTGATTACGTAACTCGCGTTACTTGTAATGCGTTAGCCCCAACACTGGTGGTCACTGACCTGATTCTGTCAGATCACTTTGTGCTTGTGTGTGAATATTCACGTAACGTATATATGTTAGTGTTAGTGCATATGTGTGCTTTAGGATGGCAGGATGGATCATTATGCCACATATATGCAGTCCATGTACAATTAAATGCTCAGGTTATATCACAGCAAATGGATGCAGATCATAGATTATGTCAGGTCCAAATTGTGTCGACACACATATTGTGTTTATTGACACTGTCTGACACATTTGAAAAGGGTTAATCATGCACACACAATCACACATAGCATTATAAAAAGAACATTTCCACTTTGTTAGTCCTCCGGTCCAGATTCTGCTGTCAAATTGCTATCAAATACAGAGTTCTGGCATGAAACTCTAGATGGCGCAGTACAATAGGTCTAACTCAATATGAACTAATGACATCATTATCACATGGCACAGCTGACTGGTTCTCTCCTGTATCGGTAGCCAATGAGCTCGCTGCTCAACATTCAAATATATGACTAGTGTTTGCTGTAGTAGTGCAGCTTGCTTCAGAAACCCTCCACCTTCCCCAGCTCCACCTGTATAGATCTGCTACGAGGTGATTCATGTATGCTATATGGGGGTTATTTCATGTATGTTATATTTGCAGCAAGTAGCAAGTCTCGCTACTTGCTCTGCCGCAGCAGCAGCGTAGCAGATCTATTCCACCAAGACCAAATTCTTTAACATTGTCATGTACATTACCATGCCAATCCCTCCGAGAGTTGTCATAACAGAAATGTAATTTCTGCATGCATTTGTGTGTTTATTTGTTATGCAGCCTAATACATTCTGATCATTTTAAAAATTATAAATAAATACTTTTCAATTATGTTTATGGCGATTATTGGTGGCTTGCTTTCTTTTGAGATTTACGGATAGTATTGCTCATCACCTTGAATTTGCCTTAAAAAGCAAAATCAAACAAACACAAGTTTGCTTTTTTTTTTTTTTAAGTTGTAATTACACTCACTGATGACTTCAACAGAAGCATTTCCAGAATCTGACTGATGCTGTTTATTGTGAATAGATTCATAGCTAAAGAGCTGTTTTCAGCATGATGAGCATGTTTCATCATATATGCAGCGTTGTATTGAGCAATAAGCATACTGGAGCTATGTGCATTAAAATATGTAAAATACCATGTTTTATGCAACTGAAAGACGTATTTCTTCATGTCTTTTGCACAGTGTGTGTCTGTAGTAAAGCCTGGCTGATTTACACCCATGTCCGCCTGTCAAACTCCACACCAACTCAATCTCATTCACAACAGGAGATCTGTGTGTTCCTCCAAATTAATTCTCTTTGCGCTCTCTCTTTTTTTGAACAGTTTTTACATAATCATTGCTATAATGATAAATATTTTGTGTTATGGAGACTATATGTCTACTGTTCATAGTAAATCCAAGACCTTTATGTCAAAAGAGCATGTTGTTCATTAAAAAAGGCACTTTAGTAATTTCAGATTTTAGTTTACAAAATCAGTTGTAAACTAAGTTGTGATCAGTTGTGTACATTTGGGTATTGTGTTACATATGTTGTTAAATTAATGTTTATTGCATTTTTTAGTGTCGTGTGTTACCATGATGGTGTGTTTAAGGACATATAGAATAAGAGATCTGTAACACTCCATACCGATCTACTGTAGTGTTTTCCTCTAGAGGCTTGTTCTAGAATAGAAGTGTCAGACTTCCAATAATTAAAGGTGTGACATCTTTTCTCAGTTTCTTCTGAGTTTTTCCAATTCTTCTTATTTTCTGTCTGTTATGTTGTGAAAGAGAATGGGTAAAATAGAGTCTGGTAGTGTTTGGAAATACGGATAAGGTATTTCCAAAGTTTCCAAAGTATTTCCAAGTTATAGCGTTCGGGGTTCAGACACACTCTCTCCGTTTAAATCTAGATTAAAGACACATCTCTTTGGCCAAGCATTCAAATAATGCATCTCATAATCTTGGACTGCCGTTATATCTGATCAAATTGACATCCCGTGGTAACTAGGATTTACACAAGCTTCAGTCTGGATCCAGAACACCTGAGAAGAGATGATGCCAACCCCTCAGAGGCCCTCAGATGATGCCAACCCTGAAACAACATACAGAACTACCACATTTTGCTATAAGTTTGATTGCATCATATAATAATCGCTGTTAATAGTGTTCATCGTCTGTTTGATTACGTCTTTAATTGATTACGTCTTTAATTGTTTTTCCATACATTTCTGCCATATGTACATTAACTGACAGTCACCACTGATAAGCAACCACTAAATATTGCAGAAACATAATTTGCTGTAAAGTTGCTTTGCAACAATTTGTATCGTGAAAAGCTCTATACAAATAAACTTGAATTGAATTGAATAAGGGGTCAATCAAGCAGAGAGATTCTTTAATTAAATGCGCAGATTTTCCACTCTTCCCTTCAGTAGCATAGTAACGAATGTCAGTTTGTAATTGAGATTGGTCAAAGGCTCTTGCATGTGAAGTGATTCTCCAATGCAAAGGGTGTCAGTCCTGCTCTTGGCCATTCACCATCCTGGAGAGTTTGGATCCACCCTGCTCCAAAACGTCTGTCTGGAAAGTCCTAGTGATCCTTAAGATCTTGATCACCTGGTTCAGATGTGTTT